CCCTTCCCCTACGCGCCCTACGCGATCCAGGAGAGGTTCATGGCGGCGCTGTACGGCGCCCTGGAGAAGGGCCAGGTCGGCATCTTCGAGAGCCCCACGGGCACGGTGAGCCGTGGAGGGGACGGTGTGAGGGTGCCGGTCCCGGGTGGGTGGGCGCGTCGACGGGGAGGGCGGCCCCGCTGGGGATGGTGCCTGGGGAGAGGAGCCATGGGCACCTGGGGCTCTGGTGCTTCACAAAGGGCTCCGGGTTGGCCCCCTCCATGGTGCTTGTGGCAGGACTGTGTCCGTGTTGGTGTCAAGGTTGGTGTCACTCTGGACAGGTGAAAGGGGAAAAGTGGGAAGAAGCCGTTTACAAGGGAAATGCAGCACAATGACATGTGAACTCTCCTGTACCTGCATACATAGGCTTGACTTGATCCCGCCACACTGGAGCTGTCTCCACATGTATCTCCTTTGGAGGAGTGTTACTGTGTGACTGTCAATGCTCCAGCTGTGCATGACTGTCTTGTTTGTTTTCCACGACAGGGAAAGTCTTTAAGTCTTATCTGCGGAGCCCTCTCCTGGCTCAGAGACTTTGAGGAAAAAAAGAAGCAGGAGGAGGCCCGGCTTCTAGCACTTGAACACGATGGGCAGGAGGAGAAAAAGCTGACGCCGTTGGATGAGCCCCTTCCGAAGGGGACTTTGGAGGAGCCTGGGTGTCCAGACAGCAAAGGCTCAGCTGGGGAACCAGACTGGATTACTGCGTTTGTGCAGAAGAAGGAAGAACGAGATATGGTGGACAGACTAAAGGTTGAGAAATGCTCCTTTGTAGGGGAAGGGGAAAATAGCAAAGTGTGAGGATGAGATAGATACCATGGGTGGTAACTGGAGAAACAGGTGATGCAGTCTTCCATGGCCAAGGTCCTGTTTCAGTTATAAAGGATGAATGTTGCTGTGTGTGTGGATGCCATAAGACAGGAAACTACCTTGCTGTAAATTTCATGATGAGCAATAGGCAGGCACGCAAGGAAAAAGGGACTGCATAGTGACAGTTTTGATTCAGAGTGGGTAGTTTGTTCTTTTTTGTTTGTTTGTTTCTTGTTTTTTTGTATCTCTAGGGAACTAGAGATTATACTAGTAATTATACCCGAGTTTTAGGATTAAACCCATTTCATCCTTGCTTTGCTTTCCCTTTATTTTAGGAAGAGCAGATCAAGAGGAAAAAGCGAGAAGATCGACTTGAGAAAATTCGCCATAATGTGCAGTTAAAATATACAGCAAAGAGAAAAGTGAGTTGTCCTACAAACCTTAAAAGTTTCTGTATTGGTTGTATCAAGTCTTTTTCATTTCTGCGTGCATAAACTGAGTTTGAATTTTCCAAATGAAATGAAAGTATATAGGGAGCTCTTTGTATTAGATTCTATTCCAGATTTCTGGTTGGATTCTTTTTTTATAAAGTTGAGATGTGAAAAACAATTTGTGTATAGAGAATATATTGTGCCAACGGTTGTGTTTTTAGATGGAGATGGGAAGCATTCTGATAGACTTTCATCCCTTTGCTTTTGTTTCAAAGGTTTTGATACTGAGTTTCTTTGAAAGATGGTTTTCAGAGCTCTTGGGGCATGCATGAACCCGATTGTGTATAACCAGAGTAAAACCTGTAGATCTGGGATTAAATTTAAGATTGTGGACCAAAAGAAAAAAGTCAAGTCAGACTTCGGTTGTACTTTGCTCACCAATAGTGAACAGCTGTGTTCTTTTCTACTTTTTTTTTTTCTTTCATTTAGATGGATTACCTCTTGCAACACTCTTAAATATAAGAGCTTTTTGATGAATCAAAAACTTCTTAGAAGTTTATGAATCAAACTTCTCAGGAATATCCACTTCAGGGTGCCAAGCAGACAGACTTATTAGGCTGTCAGGCTTTTAGTTTCTAGTGTGTTGCATTTGACATGCTGCATTCAGTTTTGGTCGAATCCTGTCAAAAGAATGTAGCAGAAATGGCAAAGGTTCAGAGGTAAATCATAGAATCATAGAATGCTTAAGGTTGGAAGGGACCTCTAGAGGTCATCTAGTCCAACCCCCCTGCGCACGCAGGGTCACCTAGAGCACGTGGCACAGGGTGGCATCCAAGTG